GAGAGAGAGAGAGAGAGAGAGAGAGAGAGAGAGAGAGAGAGAGAGAGAGAGCCAGGGAGGTGTGCTTGTGGAGCCCAGAGGCTGATGGGTGTTTTTCTGTTGCTTTTCCACCTTATTTTTTGAGATACTGTCCTCACTGAACATGGAACTGGCCATTGGGCTAGAGAGCTCTGGCCACCTGCCTGTCTCATCCTCCAGAACTAGGGTTACAGATGTGTACAACCACTCCTGGCTTTTATGTGGGTGCTGGGAATCTAAATTCAGGCCTTTGTATCTGTCTCCCAGTCACTTTACCCACTCAGCCTGCTCCCCAACCTGGTCAGTGATTTTTCTCCAGGGCCTTTCCAGTCCTGAGCTAGATCAGGTCTCTTTTGCTTCCTGTACTCTGGTTGCCTTCTGAGTTTTGCCTTACTTAAGCAGTTTTGCAAACTGCGACAAGAATGACTTATTTTACAAACATCTGTCTTTAGCTTAAAACCTGTTGGCCACTAAAATTGTAGTGATTTCCTGTTGCTCTTCCAGTCTAGGCTCTTTTCATTATCTACTGTTATACCAGGGTCTGTCCATTTGATGGCCACTCTGGCTTCCTGCCACACATTCCCACCCAAACTACACTCCTCCGGTAGTGTTTTTCTTTTCTTTTTTTTTTTTTTAAGCTTTGTGAATGCCTCAAGACTTTTCATTTTCCCGAACTTGCGCATGCCTTTTCTTTCTGTGACACTTTAACTGATTCCTTGCCCATTCAGTGTCTTTCATTCTTTGGCTGTCAGCCCAAGTGTCAACATTTCAGAGTGTCCTTCCTTGACTGTTCATCTCTGGTCATCTATTCATAGTTCTTATAACAGTATGAAATTATTAACCTGATGATTTAGTTTTGTGGCTTCCCTAATAAAATGTTAAGGAATCGGGAACCCTGTCTGTCTTGTGCCCTTGAACAAGGTGTGGTGGTGGGCACTTGCCATTTGAGCACTTGGAAGGCTTAGGCAGGGGTATCGTGAGTTGCGGGCAGCCTGAATTACATTGTAAGTTCTAGGCTAGAAGTTGGCACAGAGTGAGATCTTGTCTCTACAAACAGCACCAGTGGCCACACAAAGACGGGAGCAAACACTGGGATCTGACTCCCAGACCCTCCCTCTTCATTCCTCTGTTTAGATTTCGTTCCCAAGTCTTAATGCAGCCTTTTGCTGATGAACTATCCCGAGCCTCACTTCATTCACGTTCATGTGACTTCCAGCAGCTGGTTTGGTACAGCTTTACAGATTTCCCGCTCACTAGCCTTTCTGACCACCACTTGCCAAATAACCCCTGGTCTGTTGTTGCATTTCTTGCTATAGCTTCGATCTTTTGCTCTGATTTCTAATTCCTCAGCAGACCCTTCATTTTCCCGAATTCCGGCTTATGTGCATGTGGTTTCTCTTGATGAGAACGTTCCCTCCCTGTTAAAAGTTTAATCCAGGGCTGGAGAGACGGTTCGGGCTTGAAAGCACTGACTGCTTTCAGATGACCCGGGTCTACTCCCCATAAGTTTTCCCTCAACTTGCAAAGCCTTTCACAATTTGTTACTTCGTTTGATGGGAATATGTCTGTCTTGCTTTGAAGAACTGATTAAGCTTAAAAACTTTTTAAAAATTGTGTATGGGCATTTTGTCTCTGTATAAGTCTGTGGATCACTTGCATACTGGAGGCCAGAAGAGGGCGTCAGATCCCCTGGAACTGGAGTCACAGATGGTTGTGAGCTGCCGTGTGACTGCTGGGAACGGAACCCTGGTTATCTGAAAGACCAATGAGACTGCCTCAAAACCAGAAAAGTAAATAAATAAAGTATCTTATTAAAATAATTTTATCTTTTTACATCTTGATGTGAATACTAGGAAAATTTAAATCACACATGTGGCTCACATTCACGGTTTCCAGTAGATCCCTGCTATACATGACTGGTCTTCTAGAACGGCATTGTTGGGCTGGCACGGAAAAGGTGAAGTGGGATAAGGTAAAAAGACCAGTCATTAGACACTGATTTGTTTAGTGACTTACTTAAAGCACTGCTTGTACTGCCTGTTTGCCAGCCGTGACCTCACTTGCTACCTGGAGCAGAGTGACCTGGAGAAGTAGCTGGAAGAGGTTGTTGTTTGTCCCTGACCACCTGCCGGCTGCCGTGTACATCTCTGTAAAATGATGCTTGCTTGCTTGTTCACTCGCCTTGTGGCTTTAGAGGATAACACGAGAATGCAAACGACACGGTACGGTGGCCTTTCAGGAACTAGCTTGTGGGCCGCTGGTGGAGTCTCTTCTACTCTCATTGGTGTGTATTATAGAAAGATACCCACAACAAAGGCACTCAGAAAATGTTTGTTGAGTGGATGGATGGGGGCACAGTCTGTGCATATTTATTGATTCAATTATCACATAAACAGTAATGTTTGTGTAACAGCCTGTGCCAGACAGTATTCTGAAAGTGTTTTTATGTGTTAATTCATTTAAATCTCAGTGCTAATAAGGGGGTTCTCTTATTCACTTTACAGATAAGGAAACCAAGTCATAAGGACCTCATGCAGAGTTTCTTAAGATACAGACTCTGTGTCCTGTAGTCTAACTCTCCATACAAGTGGAGATACTACACTGAGATATAGTCAACCATAGTGTTCTTGTTATAGAAAGGTAAATCTTTTCTAGAAACTATTTGAATGTATCTCACGTTTCTCAAAGTTGCAGAACCGCTATTCAGTTTTTCTCTTCTAGACACCCTAGAAAAACCCTTCTGAATGTCTCTTAAGTGGGTTAACTTCTGATCTCTGCAGGATCCCCTGGCCAGGGAGCCAGGTCCTTCAGAATGGTAGCTAGAGCAGGCAAGTTCACTACCTTGCACCCATGTCAGGTGGCTCCTAGCCACCTATGACGACAGCTCCAAGAGATCTAATGCCCTGTTCTGACCTCTGTGTCACCCCAACACCATGGCATTCACATCAACAAAATAAAAATAATCTTAAATATCTATTAACTTGTTGGCTCTGTGGCGGTTGATATTGATAGTCAATTTGATGGGCTTTGGAACCACCGTGGAAACAAATCTCTGGGCATGCCTGTGAGGGGTTGTTAAGTTAGGCTGGTTGAGTGGGAAGACTCCCCCTAAATGTGGCAGTACCATTCCATGGGCAGGAGACCCAGACTGAAGGAAAGGGGAAAGCAGGCTGAGCATAGGCGTTCCTCTGCTCCTTGA